AACAACCATCTCTTTAACACCATCGATCCAATCTTCTTTCTTCACCCTTATTTGAATAACCTTTATCTTCAACCACTTAATTCTTTAATCGTTCATTTGTCAATTATTTCAAGTAAAAAGAAATATTTCTTTTGACCGTTTGAAATGCTCAATGATAACCTTTCTTACTAAAGAATGAATTAAAAAATTTTAATCTTTGTATCTCAGCAGACGAGAAATATACAATATTATACTAGAATTCGCAAGTCATTGCTTTATTTCTTAAGCTTCGCCAATAAATGACTCAACACTAACGCTATCTATATTTACGCCAATGGTGCATCATTATTATATGGATCTCTCTGACAGTTTAAAATTTTCAATAATAATCTTAGTAAGTAAAGAATAAATTAAAAAATTTTAACCTTGACATCTTAGCAAACGAAGAATACATTATGCAAAAATTCGCAAGTCATTGATTTATTTCTTAATCTTCGTCAATAAGTGACTCAATCCTGATACTATTTATATCCACGTCAATAGTGCATCACTGTTTGATCTCCCTGACTTTTTGAAATGCTGAACAATAATCTTAGTAAGTGAAAAATAAATTAAATATCTTTAATTTTCGTATCTTAGCAGACGAAGAATATATAATAAAAACATTCACAAGTTATTATTTTATATTTTAGTATGCGTTAGTATATGTACTTATAATTGACACGATCTATATCTACGCCAATGGTGCATCATTATTTAATCTCTCCGATTATTTAAAATGTTAATAATCATACTAAGTATAAGATAAATTAAAAAATTTTAATTTTCTCTTTTATTTTATCTTAGCAGACGAAGAATATATTATACAAAAATTCGCAAGTCATTGATTTATTTCTTGATCTTCGTCAGTAAGTGACTCAATCTCGACATTATTTATAGCTACGCCAATGATGCATCACTCTATAATCTCTCCGACTATTAAAAATTTTTAACAATAATCTTAGTAAGTGAAAAATAAATTAAAACATTTTAATCTTCGTATTTTAGCAGTCAAAGAATATATTATACAAAGATTCAAAAGTCATTGCTTTATTTCTTACTCTTTGTTAGTAAATATCTCAACCCTGACACTATCTATATCTACTTCGATGGTGTATCACTGTTTGATCTCCCCCCTATATAAAATTCTCAACAACAATCTTACTAAGTAAAAAATAAAATAAAAATTTTGATCTTCGTATCTCAGCAGAAGAATATATTATACAAAAATTCGCAAGTCATTGCTTTATTTTTTAACCTTCATCGGTAAGTAACTCAACCCTGATACTATCTATAACGTAAGCTAACCTAACCTAAGCCTGATACTATCTATATCTACGCCAATGGTGTATCGTTACTTAGTCTCTCCAGCAATTAAAGCCTCACTCTGTTCACCCCATTTACAAAATGCACGTTTCCAATCAGAAACAAAAATTCGTGGAAGCAATCTGTCTCCGTTTCAGAGCAGACATGTCCGCAACCAATCGGAACAGAGTTTCCTCCAAGTGGAAGCTGCTAAACGTACATCTGCCATGCATCTTCCTCCGAGAACCGCATTCTCTAACCCAAACCTATCCTCGTACCACATTACCATACCACGTCCTCCTTCGCGAAATACTTCGATACTCTCCATCTTGCCTCCCGGTAGTGCTCGTTCCCTTGCAAATCGCAGCACCGGAAGCGTCCTTCTTCCGCGCGTCAGCCGACCAAGACAGAAACTCTCGTCTCGTGTTCCTCCGAACACGATGGTGGCTGCGAGCCGTTCAGATACTCTCGGTTCCATCGACGAGCGAGTTCCCAGGGACGGTGAATACTCGCGAAAGCTGAGCCAGCCGCATGTTTTATTAATGCAAAGCCGCGCCGGTGCATCCCTAGTCGAGTTTACCCGGAGTTTACTCTCTCTTCTTCGCTCTATCTCGCCTTCTGTGCGCGAGGTCTAACTATTTGCTTGACTAAGCGATGCGGCTGCCAATGTTCCCTTGGAAATGGCACTTCCTTCTTACCGCTGGGAATAATAAGGCGGCCAGCAGTCGCGAGATGTTTCAGATTTAATGAGAATCCGGGAAGGCAGACGTGCCCTCTGGCTGGCTCACAGGCTCGCAGATACGATTGTTCGGCTCGCTTGTGCGAGAGGCTTCGATTGTGACGTTAATTGTCCTTAACGCGTTGCGTGCCGCATAGAAATCTCTGAGACATAAGCTAGGGACCTCGCGGTTCGACATGACAGCGCGTTGACGTCTATGGTTCTTAACAGATGGCGCACGAAACGCGAGAAAACTCGTAATATGTTAAGAAAGGTTCCTCTTAGCTATGGAAGAGGCGCGAAGGATGAAGGGACCTTTGACAGATCTCTGCTTTGGCTCGTGTCTGATACATACCTGTGCCACTGAGCGCGAGTATGGTACGATTAACGTAACTCTTGGATTTGGATTTAGACTAATTATTGTAGTAAAAAGTAAGTAATAAAATAATCTCTATATCCTAGCGATGTGGAAGCGATCCCTTCCCCTGTGTTTTGTCTTTTGTTAGCCTGTGTCTTTCGTCTCCCGTTTTCTAGAGACGTCTTGTGACCTGTGTAGCCCCAAAAACAGGCTAGTTCTGACCATTCGATAAAGATCTATATAGTTTTCCACCGTTTCCACTGATTACACGACGTGTTTTAAGAATTCTAGAGATTAAAATTTACCAGCCTTTACACGAATATTGCGGTTAGAAAAGGACAGATGCTTCTGTGGTGGAACATCAACAAATTATTCCATTTCTACGATTAATTTGTGAACTTTTATAGCTGCATCGCAATGCTGGATCTTCGAGCAATATTCTCGTGCAATTTTCACATATAATTTCGTACTAACTTTGTTATTATTAATTACTTGACGGCGTATGGGATTTGAAATCAGCGATTGGCCGCTAAAATAATTAATTATGAACAAAACTAGAAGTGAAATACGAACAAAAATGATATGGGAACATGCCCAAGGATGTTGTTTTTATAATGTATGCATGCAATTTATAAATTAATTACGTAGGAGACAGTAATTAATGAAAAACCGATAGTATCTTCGACATCAGTACAAACATTCCGGGGAATAATTACTCGTAATTAATTAATTAGGGAGAAATTAATATCCAAAGTTACATTAGAAACTTCGTAAAGGGCATCTCTTTACGATGCAATTATAAAAATTCATAAATTAGTCACAGAAATTGAGTAATTTGATAATTTTCCAGTAGAAATTGAAATTACGTCGGTCAGTGCCATCTATGATTTTGGACTGGAAGCTTTGTTACGGTTCCTCGTATAAAATTCTAGAAACGTCAGTAAGCGCCATCTATGATTTTGGACTGGAAGCTTGTGTTACACTGCGAAATCATAGATGGCGCCAAATGATGTTTCTAGAATTTTGTATCGGGAACACGCAAGATGAGAAGAGGTAGATACCGACGGAGTTCCTGGAAATGACGTCATTTCCAAGAATTTCCTTGGACAATAATTTCGCTGCTTCGACGAGAAACTTTCGGCCAATTTGATGATTTTTTATCAGGATAACATAACATGACAGGAGGTCGTTCATCGACCGATTCCGAGAAATGACGTCATTTCCAAGAATCGAGCGGACAATACTTTTGCAACCTAGTCGAAAAATTTTACACCGATTTCGGGACTTTGTATCAGGATAGCAGAACATGATAGGAGGTCCCTCGACGATCGATTCCAAGAAATGACGTCATTTCCAAGAATTGAGCGGACGATACTTTTGAGGCCAATCCGTAAAACTTTAGACCGATTTTACGATTTTGTATCAGGATAATATAACATGAGAGGAGGTACTCAAATGACTTAGTCCTCTTATTGTTGGATATTTTTATTATTATACTTTCCTTACTTACCTTACTTACCTTAATTCGTCTTAATTTGCAGATTTCTTCGACAAATATTGTCCACTCTTATTTTTCACAGTTCCAAAAGGAACTTTGAAAATTTATAAGAGATAAGACATATCTTATACTTATTATTACTAAATCATTGCTGACTTGTATATAATGTATAATTAACTTATAACTATTTAATAACTAACTTACAAATAAATTACAACTAATTGGTGACTAACATATAATAGGCTTACAACTAATTGATGACTAATTTACAATTAACTTACAACTAATTAATGACTAATTTATAAATATAAGTAATTAGTGACTAATTTACAATTAACTTATAACCAATTAATGACTAACTCATAATTAACTTATAACTAAATAATGTCTAATTTATAACTAACTTAAAACTAGTTTATAACTAATAATATTTTACTTACCTTACTTTACTAACCTTACTTACCTTAATTCATCTTTATTTATATATTACTTCAACAAATATCGCCAACTCCCATTTTTCAAAATTCTAAGGGGAACATTGAATATTCACAGGAGGTAGGACATATCTTAAACTTATTACTAAATCATTGCTAACTTATATATAATTTATAATTAACTAACAACTAATTAATGACTGAGCCTTTCGTGATGTTAAATTTTAATTCGATTTATTATTATTGGAAGTTATGATATTGAAATTATTTGGATCTACATGTAGAAAATTTTCTTCTTCTGGAGGACTCTACATGGCTTCCAGCGCCATCTTGTTTCAGCATGTTAAAACCTACACCACTGTTACTCTCTAATATTAATTATTTATCGACTCTTTTATATTATTGTACGTCACAAAATTCTCCTTTATTATAACAAGTTTTGTCAATATATATTTTATTGTCTACGTTCATAGTTACAATATATTATTAAGTAATTATTATTAATAATATTCATACTAAATAATCATGGCATCGCAGATCACTGAAATATATTCGAATTAATTTTCCTGACCTTTTATATCGTAAAAATAAGTGGATTTTGTCATTTCACGATTCATTTATCAATACGTTGAGTGGTAACGATCGTAAATTTGCAATTTTTCAGGCACTTCGATACGACAGCAAACGAAGAGCTGGAGGGCCGAGCACAAAGCTGCGAGGACGCTCGGAATAATAATGGGCGCGTTCCTCCTTTGCTGGCTGCCATTTTTCCTTTGGTAAGCGGAAACGACATTATACTTCGATTATTCCTACCTTTTTAAAACAACCATCTCTTTAACACCATCGATCCAATCTTCTTTCTTCACCCTTATTTGAATAACCTTTATCTTCAACCACTTAATTCTTTAATCGTTCATTTGTCAATTATTTCAAGTAAAAAGAAATATTTCTTTTGACCGTTTGAAATGCTCAATGATAACCTTTCTTACTAAAGAATGAATTAAAAAATTTTAATCTTTGTATCTCAGCAGACGAGAAATATACAATATTATACTAGAATTCGCAAGTCATTGCTTTATTTCTTAAGCTTCGCCAATAAATGACTCAACACTAACGCTATCTATATTTACGCCAATGGTGCATCATTATTATATGGATCTCTCTGACAGTTTAAAATTTTCAATAATAATCTTAGTAAGTAAAGAATAAATTAAAAAATTTTAACCTTGACATCTTAGCAAACGAAGAATACATTATGCAAAAATTCGCAAGTCATTGATTTATTTCTTAATCTTCGTCAATAAGTGACTCAATCCTGATACTATTTATATCCACGTCAATAGTGCATCACTGTTTGATCTCCCTGACTTTTTGAAATGCTGAACAATAATCTTAGTAAGTGAAAAATAAATTAAATATCTTTAATTTTCGTATCTTAGCAGACGAAGAATATATAATAAAAACATTCACAAGTTATTATTTTATATTTTAGTATGCGTTAGTATATGTACTTATAATTGACACGATCTATATCTACGCCAATGGTGCATCATTATTTAATCTCTCCGATTATTTAAAATGTTAATAATCATACTAAGTATAAGATAAATTAAAAAATTTTAATTTTCTCTTTTATTTTATCTTAGCAGACGAAGAATATATTATACAAAAATTCGCAAGTCATTGATTTATTTCTTGATCTTCGTCAGTAAGTGACTCAATCTCGACATTATTTATAGCTACGCCAATGATGCATCACTCTATAATCTCTCCGACTATTAAAAATTTTTAACAATAATCTTAGTAAGTGAAAAATAAATTAAAACATTTTAATCTTCGTATTTTAGCAGTCAAAGAATATATTATACAAAGATTCAAAAGTCATTGCTTTATTTCTTACTCTTTGTTAGTAAATATCTCAACCCTGACACTATCTATATCTACTTCGATGGTGTATCACTGTTTGATCTCCCCCCTATATAAAATTCTCAACAACAATCTTACTAAGTAAAAAATAAAATAAAAATTTTGATCTTCGTATCTCAGCAGAAGAATATATTATACAAAAATTCGCAAGTCATTGCTTTATTTTTTAACCTTCATCGGTAAGTAACTCAACCCTGATACTATCTATAACGTAAGCTAACCTAACCTAAGCCTGATACTATCTATATCTACGCCAATGGTGTATCGTTACTTAGTCTCTCCAGCAATTAAAGCCTCACTCTGTTCACCCCATTTACAAAATGCACGTTTCCAATCAGAAACAAAAATTCGTGGAAGCAATCTGTCTCCGTTTCAGAGCAGACATGTCCGCAACCAATCGGAACAGAGTTTCCTCCAAGTGGAAGCTGCTAAACGTACATCTGCCATGCATCTTCCTCCGAGAACCGCATTCTCTAACCCAAACCTATCCTCGTACCACATTACCATACCACGTCCTCCTTCGCGAAATACTTCGATACTCTCCATCTTGCCTCCCGGTAGTGCTCGTTCCCTTGCAAATCGCAGCACCGGAAGCGTCCTTCTTCCGCGCGTCAGCCGACCAAGACAGAAACTCTCGTCTCGTGTTCCTCCGAACACGATGGTGGCTGCGAGCCGTTCAGATACTCTCGGTTCCATCGACGAGCGAGTTCCCAGGGACGGTGAATACTCGCGAAAGCTGAGCCAGCCGCATGTTTTATTAATGCAAAGCCGCGCCGGTGCATCCCTAGTCGAGTTTACCCGGAGTTTACTCTCTCTTCTTCGCTCTATCTCGCCTTCTGTGCGCGAGGTCTAACTATTTGCTTGACTAAGCGATGCGGCTGCCAATGTTCCCTTGGAAATGGCACTTCCTTCTTACCGCTGGGAATAATAAGGCGGCCAGCAGTCGCGAGATGTTTCAGATTTAATGAGAATCCGGGAAGGCAGACGTGCCCTCTGGCTGGCTCACAGGCTCGCAGATACGATTGTTCGGCTCGCTTGTGCGAGAGGCTTCGATTGTGACGTTAATTGTCCTTAACGCGTTGCGTGCCGCATAGAAATCTCTGAGACATAAGCTAGGGACCTCGCGGTTCGACATGACAGCGCGTTGACGTCTATGGTTCTTAACAGATGGCGCACGAAACGCGAGAAAACTCGTAATATGTTAAGAAAGGTTCCTCTTAGCTATGGAAGAGGCGCGAAGGATGAAGGGACCTTTGACAGATCTCTGCTTTGGCTCGTGTCTGATACATACCTGTGCCACTGAGCGCGAGTATGGTACGATTAACGTAACTCTTGGATTTGGATTTAGACTAATTATTGTAGTAAAAAGTAAGTAATAAAATAATCTCTATATCCTAGCGATGTGGAAGCGATCCCTTCCCCTGTGTTTTGTCTTTTGTTAGCCTGTGTCTTTCGTCTCCCGTTTTCTAGAGACGTCTTGTGACCTGTGTAGCCCCAAAAACAGGCTAGTTCTGACCATTCGATAAAGATCTATATAGTTTTCCACCGTTTCCACTGATTACACGACGTGTTTTAAGAATTCTAGAGATTAAAATTTACCAGCCTTTACACGAATATTGCGGTTAGAAAAGGACAGATGCTTCTGTGGTGGAACATCAACAAATTATTCCATTTCTACGATTAATTTGTGAACTTTTATAGCTGCATCGCAATGCTGGATCTTCGAGCAATATTCTCGTGCAATTTTCACATATAATTTCGTACTAACTTTGTTATTATTAATTACTTGACGGCGTATGGGATTTGAAATCAGCGATTGGCCGCTAAAATAATTAATTATGAACAAAACTAGAAGTGAAATACGAACAAAAATGATATGGGAACATGCCCAAGGATGTTGTTTTTATAATGTATGCATGCAATTTATAAATTAATTACGTAGGAGACAGTAATTAATGAAAAACCGATAGTATCTTCGACATCAGTACAAACATTCCGGGGAATAATTACTCGTAATTAATTAATTAGGGAGAAATTAATATCCAAAGTTACATTAGAAACTTCGTAAAGGGCATCTCTTTACGATGCAATTATAAAAATTCATAAATTAGTCACAGAAATTGAGTAATTTGATAATTTTCCAGTAGAAATTGAAATTACGTCGGTCAGTGCCATCTATGATTTTGGACTGGAAGCTTTGTTACGGTTCCTCGTATAAAATTCTAGAAACGTCAGTAAGCGCCATCTATGATTTTGGACTGGAAGCTTGTGTTACACTGCGAAATCATAGATGGCGCCAAATGATGTTTCTAGAATTTTGTATCGGGAACACGCAAGATGAGAAGAGGTAGATACCGACGGAGTTCCTGGAAATGACGTCATTTCCAAGAATTTCCTTGGACAATAATTTCGCTGCTTCGACGAGAAACTTTCGGCCAATTTGATGATTTTTTATCAGGATAACATAACATGACAGGAGGTCGTTCATCGACCGATTCCGAGAAATGACGTCATTTCCAAGAATCGAGCGGACAATACTTTTGCAACCTAGTCGAAAAATTTTACACCGATTTCGGGACTTTGTATCAGGATAGCAGAACATGATAGGAGGTCCCTCGACGATCGATTCCAAGAAATGACGTCATTTCCAAGAATTGAGCGGACGATACTTTTGAGGCCAATCCGTAAAACTTTAGACCGATTTTACGATTTTGTATCAGGATAATATAACATGAGAGGAGGTACTCAAATGACTTAGTCCTCTTATTGTTGGATATTTTTATTATTATACTTTCCTTACTTACCTTACTTACCTTAATTCGTCTTAATTTGCAGATTTCTTCGACAAATATTGTCCACTCTTATTTTTCACAGTTCCAAAAGGAACTTTGAAAATTTATAAGAGATAAGACATATCTTATACTTATTATTACTAAATCATTGCTGACTTGTATATAATGTATAATTAACTTATAACTATTTAATAACTAACTTACAAATAAATTACAACTAATTGGTGACTAACATATAATAGGCTTACAACTAATTGATGACTAATTTACAATTAACTTACAACTAATTAATGACTAATTTATAAATATAAGTAATTAGTGACTAATTTACAATTAACTTATAACCAATTAATGACTAACTCATAATTAACTTATAACTAAATAATGTCTAATTTATAACTAACTTAAAACTAGTTTATAACTAATAATATTTTACTTACCTTACTTTACTAACCTTACTTACCTTAATTCATCTTTATTTATATATTACTTCAACAAATATCGCCAACTCCCATTTTTCAAAATTCTAAGGGGAACATTGAATATTCACAGGAGGTAGGACATATCTTAAATTTATTACTAAATCATTGCTAACTTATATATAATTTATAATTAACTAACAACTAATTAATGATTAACTTATAACTATCTTATAACTAGTTTGCAATTGGTATTTTAACTTTGGTGCGTAGCTCTTAGCTCGGTATCGTTTCCTAAAAATTATTTTTCAGAAAACGATACCAATTACCAGGTCTCACCACGTGGAGGTGGCTACGCATCGAGACCCGACATGCGCCCTAGTGGCGCAGCCTGCTGGCGCTACCTGTATCAAAGGTACCCAAATCTAACTTGGAGCGAATTAAGTTAAAGTGACTCTACTGACACTTTATTATATTTCGTGTCTTACAAAAGGGGTTTCGGTTCGGTATACTGAAACTCTACTGTCGCAACGCTAAGATATTTTCAAGTTCCCATAAAAATAGGGAATGAAATATCAAACACGCGAGCAAATAGAAAATCGCGACGCGCCCGAACGAGATCGCGATTATTCGAAAGAC